TACACCTGAGTCCTGTCACCTTACTTGCAAATAAATTTAATTTTGACCCAGCACCTTTTAACTACAGCTCAATATTCAGATTAACTGTTCTTCTCACAATACTGGAGAAGTTCATCATCTTTCATCTTGTCAAACAATTCATAGCTCACAGTGTCCATGATTCAATTCTAGAACTGTGAAAATAGTGTGAAAATAGAAAATACTTTACACACATTTACACAGCTTAATTCAGATGTTTACAGTTTCTTAAGACTTTTTGTGTCTGCAGCCATTCAAGTTATCCAATTTATTTGGGTAAATATTCACAGAAAGTGAATTTCAGTATTTTGTGCTGAAAGTGTTTCCAATCCCAGCTAAGCAATAGACCTTAAATTTAGAACATTCGTAGGCAACCCATAATAACAGTTTGAAAAAAATTGTATTATCTTTCAATTATTTACTTAGGCTAGCTGTATAGTAGGTTTCTACCCACTACATATAATCAAAAGCACCCACTGGATAAGTCACCTACTTCAGTCTTTAGACCATGGTTCTTGCATACTATATAATTTTGGCCATTGTAACCTTTGACTCTTCACTTTCTTTTTTCATTGTTAACAGCTGCAACTTGGACACCATATTCCTGTATGCAGTCTCCAGAGGCTGTTATTTTATCCCACTTGTCTACATCTCTTCACTTGAGCATATCATTTTAAGGCAGTGGTTCTCAAACTTTTGTATTGGTTACTCTTTTCACAAAACAAGCATCTGAGTGCTATATATTTTTTATTTTTAACACTATTATAAGTGCTGGAGGCAAAGCAGGGATTGGGTATGGAGGCTGACAACTCAGGACGCCCACATAATAACCTTGCAACCCCCTAAGTAGTCACGACCCCAAGTTTGAGAACCCCTGTCTTAAGGTGTTCGCATATTCAAGGTGCTCCGATTAGTGGATGAGGAAAGGAAACTTTCAAATCAGAACAAACTTTCCCATTTTCAACATCCAATTAAACCTTAATCTGATAACATCCATTCTTTCTTTAAATCCTTCAGTGACCCCACTCACATCTCTCCTGCATTTGCTCAAATATACTAATACTGTGTGAATATAAATCCATGGTACGCCCACATCTTGAATACTGCGTGCAGATGTGGTCGCCCCATCTCAAAAAGGATATAAATTGGAAAAGGTTCAGAAAAGGGCAACAAAAATTATTAGGGGTATGGAACGGCTGCCATATCAGGAAAGATTAATAAGACTGGGAGTTTTCAGCTGGGAAAAGAGATGACTAAGGGGAGGATATGATAGAGGTCTATAAAATCATGACTGGTGTGGAGAAAGTCAATAAGGAAGTGTTGTTTATTCCTTCTCGTAACACAAGAACTAGAGGTCATCCAATTTTCAACATCCAATTAAACCTTGGATGGTTTAATTGGATGTTGAAAATTGGGAATGGGGAACCGCGGCCAATGGGAGCTGCAGGGGGCGCTGCCTGAAGCAAGAGCAACACACAGACCCCTGTGTCCCCCCTTCCCCACGTTCCGTCCGCTTCCCGGAGCGGCGCGGGGGCAGGGCAGGCAGGCAGGGAGCCTGCCCTTCCCCCGGTGCGCGTCAGGCCAGAGCCGCTCTAGGTAAACGCTGGGGAGGGGAGGGGTTGCGGGGGGGCCTGTGAGGAGCTTGCGGGCCGCAGAAAATAACTGGGCCGCGTGTTTGAGACCCCTGTACTGGATGATGATACTCTGTGATGGATTATATCACTGATGTCTCTCCAACTATCCCCTTGTTATGTATCATAATTCACAGGTGGGATGCTGAGACTTAAAAAATTGTTCTAGTGATAATGTTCACTTCTGAGGATTTTGCTGTCATTGGAACTTTGGCCAGAGCAAATTACAAATCTTGTTGCATCGTATTTGTTTTTAAGTATATAAATCCATCACTTTATCTTTAAAAATACTTAATGCATTAGAGTGCAACAGTTAAATTATTATACTAATTAATATGGTTGTACAAGTAGATAGTTTTCAGTCACTTTGTATTCATGTGTTACAGTTGCTTGAAATTCAGTCTCCAGAAATGCTTGCTCTTATTGAGTGTATGAATGCTGCTGTATTACATGTGCTATGTGCATTTGATGCACGACAGTTAATATTAGGGGTGTCAATCGCAGCTAATGCAAGCAATTAATGCAAAACAAATTAACTAGATTAAAAGAAATAGTTGTGATTAATCACACTGCTAAACAATAATAAAATATCAATTTCAATTTATTATAAATATTTTTGGATGTTTTTCTACCTTTTCAAATATGTTACCTGAAAGTGAGAATAGGCGTTCTCATGACATTATAAATAAGAAGCAGGCAGCATTATCTCCCATAAATGTAAACAAGCTTGTTTTGTCTTAGCGATTGGCTGAACAAGAAGTAGGACTGAGTCGACAATGTAAAACTAAAGTTTTATATTGTTTTGCTTTTGAGTGCAGTTATGGTTTAAAAAAAAAATTCTACATTTGTAAATTGCACTTTCAAAATCAAGAGATTACACTACAGTACTTGTATGAGGTGATTTGAAAAATACTATTTCTTTTTATCGTTACAATGCAAATGTTTGTAATCAAAAATAATAATATAAAAGATACACTAAACACTTTGTATTGTGTTGTAATTGAAATCAGTATACTTAAATGTAGAAAAAAATTCAAAAATATTTATAATTTAAATTGGTATTCTGTTGTTTAACAGTGAGATTAAAACTGATTAATTGTGACTTTTTTTTTTTTAATCATTTGAATCTTAGTTAATATAGTTTGGGATTATTTGCCACTTTACCATGTTCTGTATTAAAGTGTAGGGGATATCAAATAGAATCTTGTCTATGGTGTTTCTATTCTATTTATTTTTGGCCTTTGTCTTTGTATACTGCATTACTATTTAAAATAGTTGCACACTTTCAAAATGGTGTGCTCTCAATTTTAGGTGTTAGTACGCAGTCTTGCCACATGATGGAGCTGAAAATAAACGGATGACTACTGCAGAAAATAAATGAGATACTTTTGAATGGCAGCATGAGTTCTAAGACATAGTATCTGAACTTTCCTTTTTTTGACTGAGCCTATATCATGTTTGCTAGATGGCACTGGTTAGCTGTCATTTCTGAAATCTAAACTATAGAGCATGAAGGAATTTGTCCACCTGTTAGTTTGTCTTGCTGAAGTATTTTCAAAGGTAACAGGTTTAAATTTTGGTAATGGCTTGAGCCCTTATTTACCTTCCATGCTATTTAAATAATGTAAAAATTGGGAATCTGAACAAAATCATGAAGGTAGATAACTCTATATTACACAGAAAAATCCCATAAGGGAGAAGTGTGGTGGCAGGAAATTTCTACCCATGCTAAACTGCATTACCTCCTGCTAGATTACTACATGGAATTATCTGCATTCTAAAGAGGGTGGTGATGTGGGGACCAGAAATATCCCTAATGCAACCCCTCAGTTCTGTGGGACATATGCGCAGGACACAAGAGGCACTGTACTACTTACAACAACTCCCTGCCCTTCCTCTTTGTGCACACAGCTCCATGTAGTTCAGCCCCTGGTATATTAAGAATTTACTGAGAAACCTGATATATTGGATTGCCATCCTTGATTCCTATCATGATTGTGATAAATAGATAAGCCACATAAGGTTTGGATCAGATAAGCATCAGAGAATCCTACGAGTGGAAGGGACCTCGAGAGATCATCTAGTCCAGTCCCCTGCACTTATGGCAGGACTAAGCGTGCTTTTGGTATAGAAATTTAGTGAGATTTCTAGTATTTGTTTAATCAAGAACACATTGCAGTCCAAGCAGACACGAGAATAAAGAGACAAATGCTTTTTTTTTGTTGTTGTTGTGGAAAAAAGAGGGTATTTTGTTTTGGTTTTTGTTTTTGGTTTTGTTATTTTTTTTTAAGTAAAGAGTCACGGTTTCTTCTTAGAGCCACTTAATTCCTAAATAGTCTATACTAGATCAATACTGCTTTGTGCTACAGTTATGATTGTGGTAATCTAAATACCCATGAGCTAATTACATGTACACTTGTCCATTACAGGTCAGATACGACTCAGAGGAAGTTTAAAAAGAAAACTTCAAATCAAAAAGCAAAAGAAGAATATGAGAAAATAAAGGCTGAACGTGCCAAGAAGAAAGAGGTGAATAAATCTTAAATTGAGATCTTTGGGGCAGGGTTGTGTCCAGAGGTTAAATTGGAGGGGGGAAGTAAATGATATTCTTTGTCTCCGAAATCAGATTAAACACCACTCACAGAGTGTAAGTCTTAAAATACGATTGTTCATGCCCTCCTGTTCTGCACTGCACTGGGTTTCCTTAGTTTTGTTCCCCCTCTTTGTGGGTTTTAATATACATTGTGCTTATCTGGCTAAGCTCAAGCTTCACAGGACTTGATGCCCCCTGTGCTCTTTGATCTGGCTTCCTTCAGTGAGGTTTGGCTGCCCTGCTTGGACTTCTTGGACTTGATTTTTTGATTGGGGAAAAATAAGTTGTGACCTCTCCCCATGCCATCCATTTGTGATGCTGACTGAGATGTCACTCATTCTGGAAACTACACATTTTCATAATGAGACAACAGTATAATGCAGTTGGGAAAAAAAAACCTAATATAATTCTGGAATGTATTAACAGGAGTATCATATGGAAAACATGAGAGTTAATTGTCACGCTGTATTCTGCACTGGTGAGGCTTCAGCTGGAGTACTCTGTCCAATTCTGGTTGCCACACTTCAGGAAAGATGTGGATAAACTGGAGAAAGTCCCAGAGGAGAGCAACAAAAATGATAAAAGGATTAGAAAACCTGACCCTATGAGGAAAGGTTAAAAAAAAACCCAAACTGGGCATGTTTAGTCTTGAGAAAAGAGGACTGAAGGGGATCTGATAAGTTCTCAGATCATTAAGGGCTGTCATAAAGAGGACTGGGATCAATTGTTCTCCATGTTCAGGTAGAACCAGAAATAAAGAGCTTTGTCTGCAGCCAGGGGAATTTAGGTTAGGTATTAGGAAGAACTTTCTAACTCTAAGGGTAGTTAAGCTCTTCAATAGGCTTCCAAGGGAAGTTGTGGAATCCCCATCATTGAAGGTTTTTAAGAACAGGTTGGGCAACACCTGTCGGAGATGATGTAGGTTTAAGTGCTTTGTTACTTCTGGAAATCCTGGCCCTCAGGTATCACAGTTGGGGGTTTCTGTTAACAAATGATGAGATGAATAGAGTTGTTGAAACCTGTTGGAGCTTTTGCTCTAAGCTATCCGCAATTGAGACAGCGTCACTGTCAATCTACCCTCAATTCAGGTATTGAAAGTTTTCTTGGTAACCATCAAGGTTAAGACTCTTTAATGAAAGCTAAGTTTCTGGAGCACAAAATGGCACCTGAAGTCAGGATGCAGGACTTGTGTGGTTGGCTGGCTAAAGCAAATTGGAGTTCAGTAATTCATTTATAAATCTTGCTTTCATTTACAGTTTCCTTTAAGAAAAAATGACAGAACAATTTATTCACACATGCTGGGTTCAGAATTAACTCGGGAAAAGATCTATTCATGTAGAGCTCAATTAAGATGACTTTTTCATATGCTGTGGTCAAAAAGATAGGATTAAGTAGGGGTCAGAAGTATGTAAACGGTAATACAATTATATACATCAGTAGAACTTCCTCACCTTGGATACTGCATTTGTTTGGGTCATCTCTTCTTAAAATGGGTAAAACAACCACTAAATACCGGTGGAAATTATTGTAAAGGCATTGGAGATATGGGGCTTTCATAAGGGGAGAGAATATTATGTCATGGAGGTGCACATATAATGTGAATTTGATATGATTTATTCCCCTTATGTAAAAAAGGACACTTTATAGAGAATGCTTTCAACAGTCACACTAACTAGAATAAAATTTAATCAGAACATAAGCTAATTGCTGGTTGATACTAAAATAGTTACATCTCTTTCTACTCTCCACTTTACTGCTCGCCTCTCCAGATCTATTGAGTCATGACTTCTCCCCCAGATGGAGATATTTGGGCTGCACTTTCTTGCTGTAAACACTAGAGGCAATTCAAGCTTCTTTACAGGGCTCCAGGGCTTTATTATGTCTTTTCCTCATTCACCAAAGAAGTGAACATGCTAAGCTGTCAGCTGATGGACAACTTGGAATGGACCCTGAACACATCAGACCAATTTATATGCAGGGATCCAGTGCCCTCCCTCCTCACTCCCCGAGGGATATATTTGCATGCAGTTAAATCATAAAGGTGCGAGACTCTTCACCAAGGAAACTTACCAGAAATCTCTGAGAATGGAGGCTCTGGCTCACAGATAGCTGAATCATCTTTTCTTTGCTTCCCCCTTTTGTCACTAGTAAAAGTGATTCAGAAGATGAAGGGGGAGGCAAGTCATCCTCACCCCCACTGATCAAAAAGGCTTTGGTATTCAGACCTAGCGTGGTCTCAGAGGTCTTCACTCCCATCTATTCTGCAGGCAGGATTTCCATGCCTGTGTCCCACTTATGCTTGACAGCAGGGCTGTTGAACTACAGGCTCTAAAGAGAGGGGATGCTCCCCCAAAGAGAGTCCTCTAACTTTACTCAGGTGTTCCACTTATTCAGAACATGCAAAATCCTCCTAATGATGCCAAGGTAAAATGACCCCAGAAAACCAGGGTTTTTACAAGATGGCCTAAGACCTTCCATCGTTGCTGCTTGCATCTACGGTAACTCCTCACTTAACGATGTAGTTATGTTCCTGAAAAATGCAACTTTAAGTGAAACGATGTTAAATGAATTCAATTTTCCCATAAGATTTAATGTAAATGCGGGGGGTTAGGTTCCAAGGAAATTTTGGGGGGCAGACAAAAGGCATTATATACTGTACAGTACTGTACTGTACTGTGGTGGGAACGTGCCCCTGGCTTACCCCACACAGGCACAGCCCTCTGCAGAAAATGAGGCAGGCAAGGACGCTAGGAAGCACCTTGCGCAGCAGCAGCTTCCCCACCAGAAGAACAGGTGCTGACTTTGCCGGGGGATGCTCCAGGCCTGCCTCTTCCCGTCCCCGCTCCACTCCAGGCCCGCCTCTTCCCACCCCCACTCCACCTCCGAAGCATGCCGAATCCCCACTCCTCCCAGCGCTTCCCTGCTGCCAAACAGCTGTTTGGCAGCACTTGGGACTTTCTGGGAGGGAGGGGGAGGAGCAGAGACTCAGCGCTTCCCCGCTCCTCTTCCTCCCACCAGTGTCAAATTTAGAGTTAGTGGGGCCCTGTGCTCAACTTCATTTTGGTGGGGGGGGGGCATGGGGGGAGCATTCTCTCTTATCTCTCCCCCTTAGCCCAGGGCCCTGCAGCCCCTAAAGCCCCTGCATTCCAGGGTGGCCTGCCTGCCGGGGTGGGGGGGCAGCTTCCCCGTTCCCTCCCAGAAAATCCTAAGCGCTGCCAGCAGCTGTTTGGCAGCGGGGGAAGCGCGGGGAGGGGGAAGAGGCGGAGAAGAGGAACTTGTGCAATGCTCCCTTGTAAAGTCAG